CTGCGCTGCGCAGGTGCGGCAGCAAGAGGTGGACACGCTTGAGCTCCAGCTGAAGGAGGCGGAGGCGCTCCTGGAGGCGGCCCTGGTGCCGATCCTTCCAGCGGGGCTCGAGCACGTGAAGCGGGTCTCCGCGAGGATGCAGTGGTGCGAAACCTGAGACGGCCCTGCAGAGAGGGAGCGGCCACGGTGGTCGCCCGCGCTGGCGGAGAGCACGGCCAGGCGGGCGGCTTGCGTGGCCGCCCCCGGGTGACGCCGCGCGCCTGTGGGGCGGCGCACTCGGCGGAGTGCGGCCTCCCTTTCGGGCGGCACGGCGAGGCGGGTGGCTCGCGGGGCCGCCCCCGGTGACGCCGCAGGCCTCGGGGAGGGCGCACTCGAGGGAGTGCGGCCCCGCACTGTTCCGGATCGGAGGGCACCTTTGATGTGTCGTGCTGGCGTCAGCTCTCGCGGTAGGTCTCTCGGCTGTCACTCGGGGCGGAGCCTCTCTTGTAGAATCCTCTGGTCGAATCCTCCTCCTCCTCCTCCTCCTCCTCCTCCTCCTCCTCCTCCTCCTCCTCCTCCTCCTTCCTCCTTCCTCCTCCCTTCCTCCTCCCCCTCCTCCTCCTCCTCCTCCTCCTCCTCCTCCTCCTCCTCCTCCTCCTCCTCCCCTCCCTCTATCAGATGAACGGCAAGGGTGGTGATGCACTGACTCTTACATCAGGTGGACTCCACAGACGACCAGAAGTGCAATTGGCGATCGAGGCGGTCACCGAAGCTGTGAGCACCCCCCCTGGGAGGTGGGAGACTTCCTGACTGCCTCGTAGACGACGTGGCCTCTTCACGGCGAGGGCCCTGGTGGTCTGGACCCCTTGCGGGGAGGGCGAAAATGGAGTTTGAGGCTCGAGGTCTTCGGGCGTTATCTGTCGGTCGGGGGCTATCTGTCGGTCCTCGGCGGTTTTCCGGCCCCGAGGGTGCTCTCCACCAGCTGCGCTTCGGCGAGAGCGCACCCGGGGTTCGCCGAGTCGTCTTTGGCCGCCAGTGGAGACCCGCAAAAGAGGCCCGAAAACTACGCATGGGCAGCTCTGGCAAGAACCATCCATGCAAAGATCCTCCTCCTCCTCCTCCTCCTCCTCCTCCTCCTCCTCCTCCTCCTCCTCCTCCTCCTCCTCCTCCAGTCCTCCAGTCCTCCAGATCCTCCATCCTCTTCCTCCTCCTCCTCCTCTCCTCTCCTCCTCCTCCTCCTCCTCCTCCTCCTCCTCCAATCCTCCTCCTCCTCCTCCTCCAATCCTCCGGTCCTCCAGTCCTCCTCCTCTTCCTCCTCCTCCTCCCTCCTCCATCCTCCTCCTCCTCCTCCTCCTCCTACTACGCATCGTTCCAGAGCGATCCGTGGCGCTCCCGCCGCGCCGCCCGCGGAGCGGTCGCACGCGGCCGCCAGCCAGGTGCGGCGGCGCCCGGCCCACGTTGGGTCCCGACTCTTCTGGAAGGGCCTCCCCCTCCCTTCTTCCGCCTCCGCCTCCTCCTCCTTCCTCCTCCTCCTCCTCCTCCTCCTCCTCCTCCTCCTCCTCCTCCTCCTCCTCCTGCCCCTCCCCCTCCCCCCCCCTCCTCCCCTCCCTCCTCCTCCTCCTCCTCCTCCTCCTCCTCCTCCTCCTCCTCCTCCCTCCCCTCCTCCTCCTCCTCCTCCTCCTCCTCTCCTCCTCCTCCTCCTCCTCCTCCTCCTCCTCCTCCTCCAGCCTCCTCCCTCCTCCTCCACCTCCAGTCCTCCTTCCTCCAGTCCTCCTGTCCTCCTGTCCTCCTCCTCCTCCTCCTCCTCCTCCTCCTCCTCCTCCTCCTCCTCCTCCTCCGTCCTCTTCCTCCTCCTCCTCCTCCTCCTCCTCCTCTCCTCCTCCTCCTCCTCCTCCTCCTCCTCCTCCCTCCTCCCTCCTCCCTCCTCCCTCCTCCTCCTCCCTCCTCCCTCCTCCCTCCTCCCTCCTCCCTCCTCCCTCCTCCCTCCTCCCTCCTCCTCCCTCCTCGCACGCGGCCGCCAGCTAGGTGCGGCGGTTCTCCACCTCCCTCCTCCTCTTCCCCCTCCTCCTCTCGACCATGTCGTGATTCGCTGCCGTTCCGTGGTCGGCTGGTGGCACGGCGTCTTCTTCGGCGGCGACGCCTGTTTCATCGACGGCAAGTTGGCCTGCGCCGGCGCGTCCCTGACCCTCTTCCTCTGCGAGTGGGTCTTCCTCCACATCTTTTTCAACCTTGCCCTCTCCGCCATCTTGGCGTGAGGGCGCCTCGGCGTAGTCCGTCGGGCGCGCGCCAGCGCGGCCGCCGGGAGACGCTCGAGAGGCGCTGCGTTCCTCCCCCTCCTTCTACTCGAACGGTACCGCCTTGCCTTTTTTTATCCATCCTTGCCTGTCTTTGCTGCTGCGCTTTGTGGTGCCGTTTTTTTTTCCGAGCCCGCTAGCAACGCTACCACCTGCGCGAAACTCCGTGGGTACACAAGTCCGCTTTCACATATTTCATGTCTTGCATCATGTTCTTTAGTCGGTAGCGGAGCACACCCACTACAACTTCGCCAACGGGACCTGCAAGGACACCGGCCGCACGCTGAAACTGTCAGCGGTCCCTCCTGGGCTTGCGCTGACTGTCAGCGCACGTCGCGGACCCTACTCTCTCAACGCACCCACCTGTGGGAATAGCCACAAATGTTGGACAGCTGCTCGATACAACGTTCATATTTACGGTGTCGGCTAAGGGCCCCAAGCTTCGGGTGATTGTGTCAAGAGAGCCCTGAGAGGGAACAGGCAAAGAGGATCGGGCAGACCATTCAGGGTCTGGCGACTGCGTTACCAGCTCACCAAAGGACAGCGAAGCGGACCTGGGAGAACCCGTCTTCGACCCTTGGAGACTGACCTTACACCTTACCCATTCAGCCCTTGCAGCCTGGCAAGACTGGATCCCGATGCGCGCCCCTTTTGCGATCGTGCCACTGGCGGTTGTCAATACTGTGACAACGCGACGTGCGAGGAACATCCCCGTGATTGTGTCACGGGATGTTCGAAATGTTGAGAGCACCACAACCACGCGACGGAAGCATACGCCCGAAACGCAGACGAGGAGGAACACACCCGTGGCAAATATCCACGGCGGTTCCGAAGCACCTTGCCCGAGCAGCGCCGCTGGTGGACCCCCAGCCTCCAGCACCTCTGCGACACGTGGAGGGAACTACCCTCTAGATGGAAGACCGTTGGAGTGGGCATGATCGCCATCACCACATGCCTGTCCTGCATGGGCCCTGGCGGTCGCAGCGGCAACATGTGTCACCTCTGCCCCCTGGGGGGGGGGGGGGGGGGGGGGCGAGCAGCAGTTTCGCGTGCCCTTCCAAAGATGGGTGCGCGAGGCGATGATCTGGTCAATGGCGAATTCAGACCTCAACGAGTTTGGCCAGGCGGTCCACGTCTCGTCGCGCCTCACCAGCACATCTCGCGAGTGCGTGGGCGAATGGCCGCCAGTTGTCCAGATCCAGGGAGGATTCATCAACGGCAACCCAGTGCCACCGATGACCTTCTTGATGCACTGTTTGGCAGAAGGGCGGGGCCAACAGGGCGAGGAGGAGCGCACTTTGGTAGCGTCGGCATTGAATAACTTCAACCGACTGCCGCTAGAGCGCATCGACAACCTCCTCCGCAACCGGGCGCAGCAAACTGATAAACTCATGATCGGTCACGATGGTCTCAACCTCCTCCTGCTGCGAGCCGTCGGAGTGTCGAATTTCCAGCTGACCATGATTTTGCAACATGACATACCCCACGAACGCAGCGCAGCTCACGCACATGACGGGCCGGCTGCGACGCGTCGGGCGCATGATCGTAGGATCGCCAGGCGACTTCTTTCGTCGGCCCACTCTGCCCAACAGCACACCTTCCTACCGGGTGCGCCCACGCAATATCCGTTCCAGGGTGCCTGTGGCATCGACAGTATGGCTCCAGCTGCGTTGGGAGCGGCAACGATCCCGCCTGCAGCAGCAGTCGCCAGCAACACCAGCATGGCGTCACCAGCGCAGGGGGCATTCCCAGCCGCAGGTGCTGACTCTGGCACCGATGTCGACACTATCAGCTCCTTCGGCGTAGATAATGCCGCAGACGATCCCGAGGTACGCGACGTACCTGTGGAACGCGGCGTGCACATATTCTGGGGTTACGAGCGCCAAAGCACGCTGACGCTTCTTCAACTGGTCCAGGGCATTTCTCCTGAGCCGACGTCTAGGTCGCAGTGGCCAAAGCAGCGTTGCGAGCTGCTGGCCCGGCCCAGCCAGGTGTGCACCACCCGTGATCTGTCTCGTTCCATTTTGTCGCCTTCCCCTCCACCTCTTGCCTGGCCGACGTGCGCCGCGCGCGCTGGATGTAATGCGCGGCCCGGCGCCTTCTGTGCCCCCTAGAGTCTGGGCTGCCCTCTATAGGGCGCTGTGCGACAGCTGGCCGACAGCCGTTGTTTCGGGCGGTGGGCGCCGTGCCTTTTCAATGTGCACGCGGTGAAGATCGAGTGCTGCACTTCGCGCAATGCCCCCGTGTAGCGGACTTGGGCCACAAGCGCTTGAGTCTACCACGCCCCGACAAAGCATCGCTCCTGCCTCGAGGGATACTCGCATGCAGGGCAACTGCGTCGACCCTGTGTTTCTTAGGCTTCCGGTCCATGGCACGAGTTTGCCTATTGCAGGTTGGTTTGTGTGGAGTTTCCGATACGCTTAGAATCGATGCGATTTGCGATGCGACCTTCTCACGCCTCATGCTGTCAGTTTTGAGCCAGCCGCTGTTCAGTGGCCGCTTACATACGACATCGATCGCATGAGAGCTCGCATGCGTCGCTGGACTGTGCACGGCGTTCGAAGCAGCTTGCCTGCTTCACGATTGAGTCGCCGAACTTTTCGTCGCGATGGTGTGTCCGCTCCCTTCCCTCCCTTCCAACATTGTGCCGACAAAAAAAAGAGGGGCACGGGGACAGAAGCAATGCGAGAAGGCTCGGCCTTTGGCTTCCGCCTCGCCGCCCGTGAGGTACGAGAGCCGCCTCTCATACACGGGCCTCTTCAGGCGCTCGGACTGCGGCCTGGCGCACCTGTCGTTGGTGCCCAAAGGACAAGTGGGGCCCACCACCACCCAGAGCCCATCGGGGTGGGTGGCGGCCCCTAGCCCCACCCAGATCTCCGACGACACGATTTTACAATCCCGGCGTTTTCCCTCGGCTTCGGCCCTGGAGGGCCTGATTCGGGCCTGGGGGCCATTCGAAAATTTATCGTGGATGCAAATTCGGCCCCAGAGGAGGGGTCGAGACTTCTGGGGCCGCCGATTGCAAAAACAATTTCGACGGATGTCAGGGTATGGGGCGGTGGTACGCCCGAGCGGCGTCCGGTGCAGGACGACGCTCGGGCGTGCTACCACCTAGGGGCCGGGTCCTCCCAGATGGATCTTCGGTCCTTGGCATCCGTCGGACGGGGCTATATCACGAGGATAAGTCCTCTCCAGAGCGTCACGCTCTGAGAAGGCCGCGGCGCCCGCGACATCCTCCAGAGCCGCCGGATTTCGGAAATTCTCCATTCATCCCCACCCGATGTTCTCCTCGTCCTGGCTTTGAGTCGGGCCTGTCCCTCTACAGGGGGAAGATCCAAAAATAGCAAAAAAAAAGTCTGGCGACGATTTTTTAAATATTTTTGCTCATTCGGGGGGTATTTTTTTGGGTATTTTTCATTATTCGCCCAAAATTCCCGTGTAGGGGGACACGCCCGACTTAGTCCCGGCTTCGTTTCACATCCGCCGATCTGGCGTCTGCCATCCGCAGCCCCAGAGGGTCCCCACCGCTGTCCTTGGGGGGGTGTCTTCGCACCGGAGCCGTGCGCGGTGGGCCTCGGGGGCCCGGCCCCGGGCCCCCGAATATCAGGAGGGAAAAAACGCACAGACACCATGAATCGTCGATTCCCCAGAAAATACAAGAAAAGATGGGCAGTGGTGGGGGGGAGACCAAAACCCAGAAAATATTGGAAAATATAGGGAGTCCTGTTGTTGTCACGGGTCCTCACAAAAGTCGGGGTCGGCAAAGAGGGGGGTGATGGCTGGGGGGGGGGGGACATCATGACGTGGGCCATGATAGTTCCCCGGATCTCATGGCGCCTCCTCTTATTTCATCGCGTCCCTGGCCCGCCCGCCGGGCCGCGCGCATGCCGCCGGTCATGATTTGCACCCCCCCTCTTGGACACCCCCCCCTTTGGCCGCTCCCGAACAAAGGGGGGTGATGCTAACCTCATGCAACTGGGGAATACAGTGGGGGCGCGCATCAAGAAACCATCTGCTTTTCATCAGGGTATCCCGGGTTTCTTCGCTCCGCGCGCTGCGTGGAGACTTCCCGCGGCCGTTGAAGGGGCTGCTGCGTTCAGGGTGCTCCAGGTTTCCCCTCCGGTGCACCTCGCGCGCGGGTTTTCAGGGTTGGGTTCCTTGCGGGGGGTTCTTGCGGCCGCGCTCGCACTGTATGGCGATGTTACTGATCGCAGATGGCACCGCCGTTTCCACGATTGGCACCATACAGTCAGCCATGATAGTAAGGACGGGGCAACTTTCCAAGGCTGCCCTTGCATCCTTGCCCCTTCGGTATTCGGCATCCTTCGGCATTCTGCTGCGCTCCGCACGGAAAACGTCAACGTGGCGTTCCGAGGCCCTTGCATCCTTACCGCGCATCCTTACTATCCTGGTCGAGTCGAGTGTACACGCCAGTCGTTGAAAGTAGGTATTTTTGGATTCCCAGACCCCAATCTCTTTCAAGCGCCTTCCTACTTCAAGAATGGGCATGTTTTGGCTGTGTGTTGCTATTCTCTGGGAGGACCTGGACCCAATCCACTAGATTCGGCTTCCTACCTCATGTTTCTACCCACTTCTTCCGACCGACGTGTACCCCTTTGTTCAGGAGGGGAAACAACACACAGACATCGGCGATTCCCAGAAAATATGGGAAAATATGGGAAGTGGGGGGAAGACAAAAACCCAGAATATATGGGAAAATATGAGGAATAGTTTTATTTGTGTGTATTTATTTGTGTGTTCTGGGGCCCCTTTATTTGTGCCACACCCTTCCTCCCGCCTCCCAGAGAGGTGGAGCACGACGGCCAGTCGGAGATCTGGGGTGGGTGGGGGCGGGCAGCCTCGGCTCGGGCCCTCGACGCAGTCCCGATCTGCTGGCTCTTCGGGGCCCTGCCCCCAGAGAGCCCTCCTCCTCCTCCTCCTCCTCCTCCTCCTCTCCTCCTCATCCTCCTCCTCCTCCTCCTCCTCCCTCCTCCTCCTCCTCCTCCTCCTCCTCCTCCTCCTCCTCCCCCTCCTCCTCCTCCTCCTCCTCCTCCTCCTCCTCCTCCTCCTCCTCCTCCTCCTCCTCCTCCCTCCTCCCCCTCCTCCCCCTCCTCCTCCTCCTCCTCCTCCTCCTCCTCCTCCTCCTCCTCCTCCTCCCCCTCCCCCTCCTCCCCCTCCTCCCCCTGGGGGCCCCTGGGGGCCCCCGCCGCGCCGCGGCACCGTCGACGAACGACTCGGGAGGAAAGGTCCGGTCCTGGGGCAGAAGGGGTCGAGACTTCCGGGGGCCGCGCGTCGACAAGAGCACGACGTCGGATCTCCGGGTCTCTCCGTGGTGAGTGCCCGAAAACGAAACACACCGTTTAGGTTCAGCCCTGCGTTAGGGTGGGGGACCGGCTCAGGGGGGGGGGGGGAATATCGAGCTGGAATTGGCGATACATCGCCGAGAGGCCCCCGATAGCGCAGCCGCATGTGCCCAGGCGGGGTGGGGCTATCGGGCCCCTGTCGGCGACCAGTGGGCGACCAGGGGTCGATGGATCCCCCCTATGTGGCGACGTGCACAAGGGGGTATAGGGAGGGGGAAAAGCTTTCCAGAAGGGGGCTGCTTCTTGGAAACAGGGGTGCTTCTAAGAAGCAGGGGTGTTTCTAAGACGCCTTGCCCCGCCCCCTACCCCCATCCATATGCCTACCCCCCTATCGTTGCCCCCAGAAGGCGCCAGCCTTGCATGTATAGGCAAGGCCCGCGCCTTCTAAGAAGCAGGGATGTATTCAAGAAGCCTTCACCCGCCTCCTACCCCCCCCCTGCGCCTGGCTGGTCTATGCCTATGCCTACTCCCCCCCTACCGTTGCCCCAGAAGGCGCTGGCCTTCTTACATGTGCCCGCGCCTTCTAAGAAGCAGGGATGCTTTCAAGAAGCCTCCCCCCCCTCCCCCTACCCCCCTCTGCGCGTGGCCGAGTAGGGCAGATGTTCCACCACCACTACCATAGGTAGGAGTGAGAGGAGGAGGAGGAGGAGGAGGAGGAGGAGGAGGAGGAGGAGGAGGAGGAGAGGAGGAGGAGGGAGGAGGAGAGGAGGGGGAGGCGGAGGAGGGAGGAGGAGGAGGAGGAGGAGGGAGGAGGAGGAGGAGGAGGAGGAGGAGGGGGAGGCAGAGGAGGAGGGAGGAGGAGGAGGAGGAGGAGGAGCTCATCCCCCCCCAGAGCTCATCCCCCGAGCTTCTCCCCGGAGGTGCGGTGCCCGCGGGGGCCCGCAGGCGGCTCCCGAGGCCTCGCCAGCAGGCTGCTCGGCCCGCTCGCGGCCCCGCCAACCCGCGACGGCCCGCTGGTGGCGCTGCTGGCGGTGAAGTTCTTCCGGGCGGGGGAGGCGTCGTTGTCGTCGACGTCGTCGTCGTTGTCGTCGACGTCGACGGTGTCGTCGTCGTCGTCGTCGTCGTCGTCGTCGTCGTCGTCGTCGTCGTCGTCGGTGTCGTTGTCGTCGTCGTCGTCGTCGTCGTTGTCGTCGACGTCGACGGTGTCGTCGTCGTCGTCGTCGTCGTCGTCGTCGTCGTCGTCGTCGTCGTCGTCGTCGTCGTCGGTGTCGTTGTCGTCGTCGTCGTCGTCGTCGTCGTCGTCGTCGTCGGTGTCGTCGTCGTCGTCGTCGTCGTCGTCGTCGTCGTCGTCGTCGTCGTCGTCGTCGTCGTCGTCGTCGTCGTCGTCGTCGTCGTGTCGTCGTCGTTGTCGCTACCGCTGCCGCCGCCCTCGCCGTGGCCCTCGCCGCCGCCGCCATCGTTCTCGCCGCTCTTGCCGCCGCCCGTGCCGCCGCCGTTCTCGCCGCCGCTGCCGTTCCTGAGATCCGACGTCCCTGAGGCCTCTCGACCCAAATCTCCGACCATACGATGTTCTCAACCTTTTTGTTCATCCATCTCGGGCTGTGGGGCTGGTTTTCGAGACCTGGGGTGGCTTCCATCAGCTGCGCCTCGTCGAGGGCGTTCCAGGGGTGCCAGAATCGTTCCGAACGGCCAGCGGAGAGTCGAGCTATGACCCGAAAGCCAAACGATCGGGCGACACGTCCCAGATCCCCGACGGTATGTTCTTTCCCAACCCTGCGTTGTACTCCTCGATGTCGGCCCCGTGGGGGCTATTTACTCGGCTCCAGAGCCATCAGAAGCGGGTCCAGGGCGAAAACTGGCCGTTCTCTGTCGCCGTCGTTCTCGCCGCCGCCGCCGTTCTCGCCGCCGCCCTCGCCGTCGCCCCTAAGATCCGACGTCACGAGCAAAATGCAGCATCGCAGAAACCACGACGAAAGACCCAGACCCCATCTCTCTGCGCTGCTTTTCCAGCCGGACCCGGGGCCCGAAATGGGGCGAAAACGATTGGCGTGAAACAGTCGCAACTTCGGATATCTGGTGTCGTCGTTCGGAAGCCGTGCAAGGGCTGCTAAATCCGTGGCTGCTAAAATCGACCTCCAGGAAGTTGTCTCCGTCCTTCCGGGAAGAAGCCCGTTGATTGTTTCGCGTGCCGCGCCTCATTCCGGGAAGCTGTTTTTACCTAACAGCGCAGACTGATAGGTTTCTAGTAGGGTCAAAAGAGAGCATCATGACGCCCCAGGGGGGTCTGGGCGCGACCCGGGGAGATGCCGGGGATTTTTTTTAGCCAACAGTAGTTACACACACTTCGTGGTCTTCGAGGTCCCAGAACTCCATTCCCGGGCCACATTCTGAATGCCCGGAGCCAATTGTAGGCCACTTCGTGCTCTTCGAGTTCCCAGAACTCCATTCCCGGGCCACATTTTGAATGCCCGGAGCCAACTGTAGGCCACTTCGTGCTCTTCGAGTTCCCAGAACTCCATTCCTTGGCCACATTTTGAATGCCCGGAGCCAACTGTAGGCCACTTCGTGCTCTTCAAGTTCCCAGAACTCCATTCCTGGGCCACATTTTGCATGCCCGGAGCCAATTGTATGCCACTTCGTGCTCTTCGAGTTCCCAGAACTCCATTCCCGGGCCGCATTTTCAATGCCCGGAGCCAACTGTAGGAGGAGCAGGGGCAAGAGTACGAGGAGGAGGAGGACGAGCAAGACGAGGAGGACGAGGACGAGCACGAGGAGGAGGAGGAGGAGCAGGAGAAGGAGGACGAGCAGGAGGAGGAGGAGGACGAGGACTCCTACATGCGAGGACGAGCAGGAGGACGAGCGACTGCGAGGACACCAGAACTCTACACCAGGATTCCTACATGAATCTCAAGGGCAATGCTTCCAGATATGCTTCTACACATCGCTGTTAGGTTGCTTTGCCGGGATAATTTCCTTCCGGGAGGGCCGTTTTAGCAGCCACGGTTTTAGCAGCCCTCGCCCAGCTTTCGAGTCGTGGCCCTCGCCGCCGCCGCCAGCGGCCGCAGAAGTCTCCACCCCTTCCCGGATCCAGCCTCTCGTCCCGGATCCAGCGTTGATGGGCCCAGAGGCCCGACCTTGAGGCAGAGCCGCCAGAGCGCGGACGGGGCGGGACCCAAACGCTGCTTTCTGCCGGACTTCGGCTGTGCTTTGTGTTTCGCTTTGGCAGGGAAGTAATTACAGGAGAACAGGTAGAACGCAAACGAAAACCAAACGGAAAACAACGTTTAGGTCCAGCCCCGAGAGCGGAAACGACACATCGTGGGAGATCTGCATCGTGTCCCTCCGCCGCCGCCGCCGGCCGCAGGCGTCCAGCAGCACCCTCGTCTTCGCCGGGGCCCCGGCGGACGACGGGGGCGGTGCTCTGGGCCTCCCAGATGGGATCCGAGTATCGGGCCGGACGAAAGGGGGGGATTGGGAAAGCGGGGGTACGTACGAAATCTGCTGCATGCAGCTGGTTTCGGCCCCGCCGCCGGGCCCATTCCTCGATACATGGGCGCCTCCTGGCGCCGGGAGGCGCCGGGAAAATCAGCTACGTGAGCTGATTCTCAAACCCCCCCTTTGCTATCCCCCCCTTTCGCCTGGCCCGAGAATAGATGGAGTCGGAAGATCGTGCCGTATCGCCGATGCATCCGCGATGCGGCTCGATGTCGAGCCTGACGTTCTCCGCGCTGGCGTCTCCGATGCACCGTACCGCCGACGTCGCCGCTGCATCGGCGATGCATCGCCGTTACACCGGCGATGCGGCGCGATCCTCCGACCCACGCTACAGTCAACCCGCATAGTAAGGATGGGCAACCTTCCCACGGCCACCCTTGTATCCTTGCCTCCTCGGCCCATCCTTGGCCACTCCCGTTGGCCGCGCCCCGCTCGCGAGGTGTCGACATGGCCTCCCAAGGCCCTTGCATCCTCTTCGTGCGTCCTTGTGTCAGCGGGCGAAGAACGGCACTCCACATCCTTCAAGAAGCACCCCCCCCCCGTGCCAACCTGTCCGACGCCCCTTGCCCGCCCCCACGCGCGCCCCAAACCCACCCCCTCTCGCTCCCCGACCTCCCCACGCCCCCCGAAGGACAGCGGTTTCCCACCCACCCCACGCGATGATGCCTGTCCCTGGGACGGGCGCCCCCGACAGCGACAAAGTTGATGCTGTGCTCAAGTCGGGCCTGTCTCTCTGCAGGGGGAATATATCCAAAAGCAGTCCAGGGACGATATTGTTCTACCATTTTCGATTACGTTCGGAGTATGTGTTTGACCAGTTTTTATCGTGAAGGCCTTAGACCCTGAAGGTTTTGGCCGTCGATGGCGACGGGATGTGTGATCACAGGAAGGAGCTAAAGGACAACGTGACAGGGTAGGCGGAGGAAGTGTGTGAGGAACAGGAGGAGAAGGAGGAGAAGGAGGAGGAGGAGGAGGGGGAGGGGGAGGGGGGGGGGAGGGGGAGGGGGAGGGGGAGGCGGAGGGGGAGGGGGAGGGGGAGCGGGGAGGGGGAGAGGGGAGGGGAGGAGGAGGAGGAGGAGGAGGAGGAGGAGGAGGAGGAGTAGGAGGATGTTTTTGACTATTCTTTACTGTTCGTCCAAAATCGGCCCGTAGGGGGACAGGCCCGGCTTGATGTTGTGCCCTTCTCAGCCCGCGATGATTCTGATACGGACGGACTGCGCTCGGACCACACATCGGGGAGGCCTCCAGGTGCGGGGCCGCTGGCGCGGTGCCTGTGCACGCTGGTGGACGAGGTTCAGGAGGGGGAAAACAAGGGCGCCCTCGAGGGCGCGAAGTTATTCGCGCTTCGCGGTTCGGCTCCGATTCCTCCCCGTCCTCCTCTTCCCTCCTGGGAGGCGGCGCGAGAGCGCGAAGTTATTCGCACTTCGCGCGTCGCGCAGCGCGAAGCGCGAAGTTGGGAGCCTTTGGAAAATCGGGGGTGGACAGAACCCCCACCCTGACACGTCGATTCGTGAATTGTCCGTTTTCGGTTCTCGAGAGGGCGCCGCAGCCGTCATTTTCCAGGCTTGCGCCCGCCAGGTTCTGGCCCGAGGTCGTTTTCACTAAACCACGTTTGACTAAAGGGGGTTCTGTCCATCCCTGAGAAAAGCACACAGGCACGATTCAGCGTCGGTCCCCGGGAAGATTTTGGGAAAGCATGGGAAGTGGGGGAGGGGGGAGACGAAACAAGTCCAGAAGCTGTACGAAAAGACAGGGCATCCTGGGACTTGTGCTATGTCGGGCGTGTCCCCCTATAGGGGGATTTCAGACGAAAAATGAACATATACCCCCAAAAATACCCCAAGAAGGTCACAAAATACTCAAAAAATAGTCCCCAGACTATTTTTGGATTATTCTTTGATTATGTTTGGGGTATCTTTTATGTTTCGTCGAAAATCCCCCTGTATGGGGGACAGGCCCGACCTAGACCAAGCGCACCAGCCGCAGCGAGGCCGGCAGCTCGCTCCGCGGCGCCAGCTGCGAGAGGGTGCGCAGGGCGGCGGCGCACCGGGCCATCGCTCGGACGGTCCCTTCTGTGTGCTTTTTTCGGCTTCGCGCGTGGCTTTTTTCGCGGGATGCTCCAGGCTGCTCCTTGATAATCCCCAGGGCCCCGGAGGAGGAGGAGGAGGAGGAGGAGGAGGAGGAGGAGGAGGAGGAAGAGGAGGGGGAAAGAGAAGGAGGAGGAGGGCGAGGAGGAGGAGGAGGAGGAGGAGGGGGGGAAAGAGGAGGAGGAGGAGGAGGAGGAGGAGGAGGAGGAGGAGGGCGTAAAGAGGAGGGAGGAGGAGGAGGAGGAGAAGGAGGAGGCGGCGGCGACGCCCTGAGGGGGCCCAGGGCCCCCTCAGGGCGTGCCCCAGGGGCCCCCTCCGGAGGTGGCGCTGGGGCTGTCGGGGCCGGGCGCGGAGGGCGGCCAGCCGCGGAGGGCCATTGCGCGGCGGCCCGCCCGGGGGAGAGGGGGGGGGGGCTGTGGGGCAACGGCAGCCAGCCACGCGCAGAGGGTCTTTGTGTTCCCACGTGGTATTTGTCCCCTCGTCCTCCTCTCCTCCTCCTCCTCCTCCTCCTCCTCCTCCTCCTCCTCCTCCTCCTCCTCCTCCCCCTCCTCCTCCTCATCGTCATCATCATCATCACCATCATCACAGTCGGGGGGCTGGGGGGCAACGGCAGGCGGGGGCGGCAAAGAGGGGGGCGATGGCCAGGGGGGGGCCATGAAATCTGGGGAGATATCATGGCGGGGGCCATGGGATCTCCCCAGATGTCATGGCGCCCCTTCTTATTTCACTACGTCCCTGGCCCCCCCGCTTGGCCGCGCGCCGCAGGGGGATGGTATCGCTCGGACAATCGAGGACAATCGAGGAGCATCCTTGATTATTTGGCGAAAAACCACGCACGAAACTGAAGAAAACACAGGGAATGGACGTCCGAGCGATGGCCAGGGGGGGTGATGACCAAGGGAGGGCCATGATATCATGGCGGGGGCCATGATATCTCCCCAGATTTCATGGCGCCCCTTCTTATTTCATTGCGTCCCTGGCCCCCCCGCTGGGCCGCGCACGTGCCGCCGGTCATGATTTGCACCCCCCCCCCTCTTGGGCACCCCCCTCTTGGCCGCTCCCGAGACAGCCAGCCGAGCGAAGAGGGTCTTTGTGTCCCCACGTGGTATTTGTCCCCTCGTCCTGCCCCTCGTCCTTCTCTCCTCCTCCTCCTCATCCTCATCCTCATCCTCATCGTCATCGTCATCGTCATCATCACCATCATCACCATCATCATCACCATCATCATCATCATCATCATCATCATCATCATCACCATCACCACCATCACCATCACCATCACCATCACCATCACCATCATCATCATCACCATCATCATCATCATCATCATGATCATCATCATCATCATCATCATCATCATCATCATCATCATCATCATCATCATCATCATCATCATTGGGAGCCTCGAGACGGGGGTCGGTGCAAGCGGGGGTCCGCCAGAGCGCCCGGTCTTGCAGGATCCTGCAGGGCCAGGGTCGCATCGACCCGGGTTTGGGTGCAGAATCCTGCAGGGTCCTTCGCATTTGCCCGGGTTTGGGTGCAGGATCTTGCTGGATCTTGCAGAACTCTGCAAGGCCTGACTGACCCGTGTTTGGATTGATCCAGGTCAGAAGATCCCCGACGATAGCCAGCCACGCGCAGAGGATCTTTGTCCCCACGTGGTTTTTGTCCCCTCATCCAGTCCCTCGTCCTCCTCCTCCTCCTCCTCATCCTCATCCTCATCCTCATCCTCATCCTCATCATCAGCAGCAGCATCAGCATCAGCATCATCAGCATCATCATCCTCGTCCTCGTCATCGTCGTCATCGTCGTCATCATCATCATCATCATCGTCATCCTCATCCTCATCCTCGTCATCAGCATCCTCGTCATAATCATCATCCTCATCTTCATCATCGTCATCATCCTTGTCTTCCTCCTCATCATCATCATCATCAGCATCATCAGCATCATCGTTATCGTCATCGTCATCATCATCGTCATCATCATCATCAGCATCATCATCATCCTACACCTCATCCTCGTCCTCATCCTCATCCTCGTCCTCATCCTTACTCGAAGAGGGTCAGCCACTTGCAGAGGGGGTAGGGGGAGAGGGAAGGCTTCGAAGCACCCCTGCTGCTTAAAAGGCGAGGGCCTTCTCCATATTAGGCCGGCACCTTCCAAGGAGCAGCTTCCTTGTCATAAGCCTTCCCCCTCCCCCTACCCCCTTGTGCGCGCCGCCAAATAGGGGGGGATGCATCGGCCCCTCATTGCCCACTGATCGCCGACAGGGGCCTGGTGGCTCCACCGCACCGACGATCGGGGGCCCATCGCCGATCTATCGGCGATGTGTCGCCGACTCCAGCTCGATGTTTCCCCCCCTATGCCAGTGGTCCCCTATCGTTACCCCTCGGGGCACCGTTCCAAGGCCCCCTCGCGTCGTGAAGGAGTCACGAAGGACGGTGCTGCTTTCAATGCTTGGCCTTCAGAGAGCCCTCGCCGGCTCTCGAGACCATCGATGACGATTCGGCATGAAAAGCCGGTCCCCGGGAGGGGGTCCAGACCTACGGGGGTCATGTCGTCAAAACATCATGACGTCGGGGGTTTAAGCTAAAGGGGGATGTGCAACGTTCTCGAACGTTTGCGGACGTTTTCAAATATTTTCTAACGTTCTGGAGGGTGTTCGGAACCCGGGGTGGTTTCCATACAGTGCCGTTTTTTATACATGCTCCGCGTGCGGATCATGTATTCAAAATGCAGGGATTCAGTATTAAAAACAACGATGAGTTCATGCATAAATTCATTCACACATTAATCATGTATAAAAAAATCCTATATGTCTAAAAATCCCATGTATTAAAAACATGCCCTGTAGCTGCGCATCGTCGAGGGCGTTCTGTGGGTGTCGGGATCGTCCCGAGCGGCAGCCGGAGAGCCGGGCTGCGACGCGACAGACGCCGGACGATCGCGGGGGCAGCGTGGCGACACGCCCCAGGTCTCCGACGACCTGTTTTTTGCTCATCCTGGGATTCGTGTTTTCGATTTCGTGTTCTTGGCGCGCCGATGACGGCAACACCGATCCGCTTCCCCTCTGGGACCGCGCCCCCTGCTCCAGTCCATGGCGTACCTTGTCCTGTGCAAGACCTTCGGCACCGCCTGTTTTCTGAGCCCTCCGGCCGCCTGAGGCCCCGCCCGCCTGTGCTCTGTCTCCCCAACGAGTGCTTTGCGCGGCCCGCCCAGCTCTGAACCGGAAGAGGCTCGCTCTCGACCCGCAGGAGGGGGAGGAGGAGGGGGAGGAGGGGGAGGAGGAGGAGGAGGAGGAGGAGGAGGAGGAGGAAGGAGGAGGAAGAGCAGGAGGAGGGGGGAAGGAGGAAGAGGAGGGAGGAGGGAGGAGGGAGGAGGGAGGAGGGAGGAAGGAGGAGTAGCAGGAGGAGGAGGAGGAGGACGAGGACGAGGACCCGCAGACCAAAAGTGCTCTCGATTTCGGCCGTGGGCCTGGTTTCGGGCTCCCCGAGCCATCCGAGAGAGGTCGGGGGTGCAAAATTCGGGGCGGGAGGGAGGGAGGGAGGGAAGAGGGAGAGAGATAGGGAGGGAGGGTGGGAGGGAGGGAGTGACAGAGGGGGAGAAGGAGGAGGAGGAAGAGGAGGAAGAGGGAGAGAGAGAGATGGGAGGAGGGAGGGACGGAGGAGGGAGATAGGGAGGGAGTGAGAGAGAGGAGGAGAGGAGGATGAGAGAGAGGGAGAGGAGGAGGAGGAGGAGGAGGAGACGAGGAGGAGGAGGAGGAGGAGGACTGGACTCCGGGGCCGTGGATGGGAGAAAACACGTCAGCGGATGTCTGGGGGTTGCTCAGGGGGGGATGAGTCCACCGCCAATCGCCCGTTTGATCGCCGATAGGGGCCCGATGGATGGCCTTCTACATCGAGAGCCTATTGCGATTTCACGAGGAGGGGGAGGAGGGGGAGGAGGAGGAGGAGGAGGAGGAGGAGGAGGAGGAGGAGGAGGAGGAGGAGGGCAGGAGGAGGAGGAGGAAGGCAGGAGGAGGAAGGAGGAAGAGCAGGAGGAGGGAGGAGGGAGGAGGGAGGAGGGAGGAGGGAGGAAGGAGGAGTAGCAGGAGGAGGAGGAGGAGGACGAGGACCAGGACGAGGAGGAGGAGGAGGAGGAGGAGGAGGAGGAGGAGGAGTTGGAGTGTCGCCGATTCCGGGGCGACATGGGTTTCCCCTCCTGCAGCAGGACCGGTGGGCCCGTCCGCAGCAGGGGCCGCGCGGCCCCCCCTGGAGGGCGGCGGGGCTCCTCTGCGCGTAGCCCGAGGGGCCCTCGGCGTGGCTTCGGCGGAGGCCCGGAGGGCTCAGTACGACTCCCCCGATGCGATTCGATCTCGGTGGCTTCCAATTCCGATTCGGAGAAGAACCAAAACAACAAAAAAAAAAAAAAAAAAAAAAAAAACGGCACAAGCAGAAACGCTTGGCGCTCCGCGCGGATTTCTGGGATCCGCGCTGGGCCCTCCTGGCGGCGCCTCTGGCACAGGCGCCGTCCCTGGCGCGCTCCGCGCGCCAGGGAGGGGGGTCCGGGGCAGATCCAAGAAATCCGCGTGGAGCGCCAAAAGTTGATGCTTATGGCGTTTTTCATTCTTCTAATTTCGATTCCTTCGATTCGATTTCGATGGGACTTCGATTTTCGATTCGATTTCGATTATTTCTAATTTCGACTCCTTCGTTTCTCCTTCTAATTTCGCCCTTCGATTCGGTTCGACTCGGGATTCCGACTTGGGCTCCGATGGCTTCTTGGACGCATGCTGGTCTGCCGATCCCCGCCGATTCGACTCTCTCCGAGGCCGTCCGCCGATCCGATTCGCATCGGTCGCCGATCCGACCTGTCGACTCGACGCTGGGCTCTCCTGCCCTCCGTGGCCGCGGAGGAGGCCCGGAGGGCTTCTTGGAAGGCGGGGGGCTTCTCGAAGACCCCCAGGAGAAGCATGAGGAGGAGGAGGAGGAGGAGGAGGAGGAGGAGGAGGAGGAGAAGGAGGCGGAGGAGGAGGCGGAGGAGGAGGAGGAGGAAGACACGGAGGACGGCCGAGGGCCACGCGCCGCCCCATGCTGCTGCTCCAGCGGCGGCCACCCCGCCTGGCGAGACCTCACCAGCCGCGGAAGGCCTGCCGCCGCGGCCGCCGCAGCCACCTTCTCAGGATGCGTTGGCTTCAGCATCGGCGTCTGCGGCTTCGGGTGCTATCGCGGCGCCTGTGGATGTTGAGCGGTCCGATTTGGAGCGGCAGTTCGCCAAGGCGTCCAGCGTCGCGGCTGGGGTCGACAGGGCTGGTGATCCTGGGCCATGCCTTTGACGTGTGGGCGCCAGCTTCGACGATTGCTACCTGGGCTTCGTGGATGGCGACTCGC